GCGTGATTACGTCAGACGAGGCTACGCAACGCGTGATAACGTCAAGACGTCCGCGACAAGTTTTGCAGTGGTAAACAAGAAGTGAAATTTGCTAACTAGCAGAGGCTAATCATCTCGGGACAATGGAGTGATTTTTTCGTGAATGCCTTGCTATTGGGCAAGTTGTAATTATTCTATCTACTCAGCTAGTTCAGGCTATGTTTAACGCTGCCAGGAGACGTAGGGAAATAAACGGGACGAGGCAGGAAAGCGGAAACAGCTGAACGTCACGTGAGGTAAATATGCGCTACGTCAGAATTTATTCGGCAAACGTGTTTCCATCTCCGTTTTGCGCATTAACTACTTTGCAAATCATCCAAAAACCACCTCAAGCGAGCGTAAAAACTTTTTAGCAAATTGAGGATTTTTCTCAAATTTTGCTGTTTCCATCCGATTTTTTTCGCATTTTTAATGCGACACTTCTAGATGCGCATCAAAAAGCCTTGATGGAAACACGGTTACAGACACACCTCAGAAAAGAGGTGGAGCTTGTGGAGTTACAATAAGGAGGAATTCAGACCAAAGCATTGCAGTTCCATTTTATATGGACCCCAAATGAATGATTTAAATATGAAAAAAGAAGGATTTAAATCATGATATGTCCACTCTAAAGGGATCTTTGTTAAAGTAAATTTAAACTTAAATTTTGTCGAGGGATTTTTAAAATTCTTTGCATTTTCTTGGAAGCCAATTACAGAAACGTCAGACTTTCACAAGTATGTCGTTCTGCCTTCTCCAGATCCGGGGACGTACCCTCTGCCAGCTAGCGCCCATAATTTTTTCACTCAATTAGTGCCAGGCGCTCGGCCCTCCAGTATTGACAGATTGTTGTGTTTTATCCCCGGCTGCATTAAATGCCTCACAGATTTGTGCTGTAACTCCAACCACAGAGTTGAACAAATCCTTGACAAGTGTGCTGATTTGTAGCCGTGCCGCTTCCTGACCCCGTCGTGCCAACTAAGAGAACTCAACTTATTTGACTTAAAAAAAAGATATAACTCTGTACTGTCAGCAGGAACACGACAAGACTCAAGAGAGGTTTGTCCACATTTGGATGACAGCGATGCATACRGCACGGCGAGGTTTTCACTTATCATCGCTACATATGGATACTGAACGCCGCCGCGGGGAGAAGTGCAATCTGATCGCCCTGCTTATGATAATATTATAGTTGGTGCTGTGAAAGGTCAGACCGTAGCACATGTCTTGTTTTACGTGCTGAGCGAACTCACAGATGGCCTCAGCATTGCCGCGAGACTCTGCTAAGTGCCTCTGGGACAGGAATAAATGCCAACGAAGACCCGTGCCCCTTGTTCGACCCCTGTCCCACGCTTGTTTTAAAACCTCTCGTCGTTCTGGATACGTGCAGGAAACTGCCATCAGCATTTACCAAGCACAGCTGGGGAGGACTGCATCTTTTTACCACGTGGCTGTGTAGTTTAAAAGGTCAGCAGCTGGTCGTTTTAACAGCTGTCTTATTCCACCTGTTTGACAGTGTTTCTATAGTTTGGTAATGATTCCCCCCTCCACCTTAGGGAAAGTAAAAAGGGACAGTTTCGAAACGCACGCAAAGTGTTCGAGTTTTTCATTTCACGTACGGCGTCATCAAGATAGTTCTGCGCTCTCCTGTTACTACCTTAATGTGCAGAGCCACACGTCGTATTCAGCAGCCAGGGGTACTTATACACCGATCTTATAACCCAGAAGTAACCATAGACTTTAACAGAGTCATCAAATTTGTAATAAAATCACACGAACTATATTTAACACCTTTCTCACCCTATTTTTGGAACGGTCTTGAGAAGTGCTCGCTCAGAATACCGAGTACCAGGACCACCTGCTTCTGTTCAGAAATTTAAAAAGGTTGACAGAAAAAGATTTTTGGGCATAAAGGTGACTGTCATCTCCACATACGTAGGGATAAACTTACAAAATAGATTTAACGTGTATCTGTGGGTGTGGTTTCTGTGGTCCAGGTGTGGTTTCTATAATCTAGGTGTCATATTCTTTGGCTATTTAGGTTTTGTTTTCTGTGGTTCATGTGTACTTTTTCTGTGGTCCACATATTGTTTCTGCTGCATAGTTGTAGTTTTCTATGGTCCAGATGTGGTTTCTGTGGCCAAGTTGTGGTTTATGTGGTCCAGACGTTGGTTTGTATGGTACATTTGTTTCTATGGTCCAGGTGTAGTTCCTATTGTCCAGGTAAAACAAAAAATACTTGTGATTAGCACACTTAGCTAACGCTACACTATGAAATGTTATCTTAGCTAACGCTGCACTGCCAAATGTTATCAGAAAATTAGCTTCTCATCTTACTAAAGCAAAACAGTTACTAACTTTAAGGAACATCYCCTTGAGTCTCATTTATTTGCTGACAATTTAAAAACTGGACTAAAACCAAAATTGGACCATAGACGTCCACACCTGCACTATATAAACTACATCTGGACCATAGGAACTACACCTGGACCATAGAAACTACACCTGGACCATAAGAACTACACGTGGACCATAGGAACTACACGTGGACCATAGGAACTACACGTGGACCGTAGGAACTACACCTGGACCATAGAAACTACACCTGGACCATAAGAACTACACGTGGACCATACAGTATATACTGCATCTGGACCATAGGAACTACACCTGGATCATAGGAACTACACCTGGACCATAAGAACTACACATGGACCATAGGAACTACACGTGGACCATATATAGTGCATCTGGACATAGGAACTATATGTGGATCATAGGAACTACACCTGGACCTATAGGAACTACACCTGGACCATAGAAACTACACCTGGACCATAAGAACTACACGTGGACCATACAGTATATACTGCATCTGGACCATAGGAACTATATGTGGATCATAGGAACCACACCTGGACCTATAGGAACTACACCTGGACCATAGAAACTACACCTGGACCATAGTAACTACACCTGGACCATAAGAACTACACGTGGACCATACAGTATATACTGCATCTGGACGATAGGAACTATATGTGGATCATAGGAACTACACCTGGACCTATAGGAACTACAGTCCAGGTGTAGTTAAGATAGCACTTAGCAGTGTAGCGTTAGCTACGTGTGCTAATCCTAAGTATTTTTTCTTTTAAATATGTTAAAACTCAATGTGTAATCACTGATTTAAAAACAAAACTATTCATTATTTATCTTCCTGTTGCTTTTGGGTCAAAACAACCCACTGTTTCTAAACTGGAGGAACCGTACGGTCGTTTTGACCCAAGGTCATCGGGGGGTTGAGTTATTGATTTTTTCCCCCCAGATTGAAAAGTCAAATTTAAAACAAAATGCTGTTTATTTTTAAATGCATTAGTCATAAACATACAGATTAATTTCTGAGAGCAGACAAATAGAAATCAATGTTCCTGATTCATCCACTAGTTCCTAACTCTGGAAAAAACAACTTCCTGTTTGAATGTCACTCAGAACGAGCGTCTCGTAAAATTAATTGTGAGCAGTAATCTGTAAAAACGCAGCATAAATGTTATTTCTGAGATGTCCCAACCTGTCCAACGTTCCTTGACACATACCTGACACCGCTCTACATCCGCCTGTGTTGAGAGCACGTTTGGGGGGACAGGAGGTTTCCACAATCTGGCCTCCCTTAGAGGTCTCCTCGGAGAAAGATCTATTCTTCATCGCTGTCAACCCTCCGTCCCTGGAGAGATGATCCTGAGCTGCTTTGGAGCTTAAGTCCACTTTTTTTCCCCTCACAAACAAACATCGACGTTGAGGAATTCTGTAAACATACCTGGAGCGAGAACACCGACTCCGTCCCCGTCTACGCTGTCTTCTAGCGGCCCTACGAAGTCGTCAATCACGTTCCCAGAGGTGGCTGTCAGTTTTAGGGGTTGGAGCAGTGATTCCTCATCTGTAAGTGAAAAAACAAGCGGAGTGCGGACGGAAAGGATAAATTTAAAAGAGGAGTGAAGACAGGCAGTGTTCAGCAGCTGGCCATCTGGCCCCTCATCATGTTCCTGACTGCTTGATTTTATTACTTTTCATTGCTTTCCCAATGCTCAAGAGGGATTTTCCTAAACAGCCTGTCAATCTAACCTTAGATAATCATTTTCTACTGATTATTATATATTGTGGTTAAACATTATTTAACTCTGTAATCAAAGGGTAATTTAAATTAGAACAAGTACATTTTAACAAGTGAGGAAGTTTGTGTAATGCTAGTTAGTAATATTGTTCAATTCCCGTTAACCCTCCTGCTACCCATGGGTCAAAATCACCCATAAGGAGTCAGTTTCATTGGTCATTTTGACCCAAGGGCAGTCAGAAGATTAAATGGGGCCACATTTCTTTGAAAAATGCAATTGTAGCCAAAACATCAGTGAAGCCCCCCAATCGTTTTGTCCCATCGTTCTGAGAAGGGTCAAACATTTAAGACTGCTGGTAATCCTCCCAAAAGTGGACGCAAATACATCCCAAAGGTTAGACCGAGCAATGCTCAGACTACCCAGACTCTACAGGCCTCAGCTAGCAGGTAAACCGTCATGGCCTCTCCTCTCTAAAACAACATGGCAGCATGATTTAGGTTTCATCTGAAGGAACCACAAAACTGGGACAAACCCAGATCAAAGTGGGGATGTTTACCCATGATGCACAGCAGCGTATTTGGAGAATACCAACTGTTAAACACAATGGTGGAAGGCTGATGATTTCAATCACCGACCGAACCAGCGAGCTGTGACTAAACAATAACGATATATATTAAAATAGACACGATCAATACCTACAGCAGGGACAGGCAATCCTGTTCCTCGAGTGCCGCTGTCCTGCATGTTTTACATGTTTCTCTGCTCCAACACACCTGATCTGAATAAATGGTGATTAACAGGCTTCTGCAGAACTTGGAAGAGGTCATTCAATCTCTGAATCAGGTGTGTTGGAGCAGGGAAACAAGTAAAACATGCAGGACAGCGGCACTAGAGGACCAGGATTGCCTACCCCTGATMTATAGAAAATGATAGCGATATATCGTGATAAACATTGGATCAATATCAATAGAAAACAATWTATATTGTAATAAATGCATGAACAATATCAATAGAAAATGATAATGATATATATGAAAACAAAATTAATATCAATGAAGAAAAATATATATTGTGATAAACACATGATTAATATTAATATATAATGATATATACTGTGATAAACACATGATTAATATCAATATATAATGATATATATTGTGATAAACACATGATTAATATCAATATATAATGATATATATCGCGATAAACACGTGATTAATATCAATATAATTATATAGTGATAAACACGTGATTAATATCAATATATAATGATATAGTGATAAACACATGATTAATATCAATATATAGTGATATATATATTGTGATAAACACGTGATTAAAATCAATACATAACGATATATTGAGATAAACGTGATCAATATTAATTGAAAATACGTCTAATTGAATGTTTATCATTTCACTGATCTAGAACCCCATGGCATTCTGGGGGTTATCCTAACACTATATTGATCCACATTGATCTATTGATTTAATGAAAATGATTCCTTCACATGGAGGAAAAAGGAAAACATTGATCCATATCTTCATCCTGTGACCGATGTGGATTAATATCATTTAGTTGCGACTGTAACATTTACAACTCAGTCACTTTTTGTCTCCTAACACAAAGACCCTTCAGTTCCTGTAAATGTTAATTTAAAGCTTTTACAAAGCGACCTCACTCTTGATGAAATAATAAAAGTGCGTCACTCTCGTGGTTAACGAGCACGAGGACGCGCTCCGTCCTGCAGTTTCACACAACAGGAATGCGGTTCGATAACGAATCTCCAGCTGCCTTGGACTACTCCCTCACCCCCTAACATCCTTCTTCCCGCTCTCTCGCTCTCGACTTCCTCACCTGTCAGAGGCGGAATGTTGCTGGCGGATGCGGGTCCTCCGGGGTCCAAACTCTTTGACAGATGTAACGACGCTCCGTCAAAACGTTTACCAGCTCCCCGCTCGACCAGAACCAGACGGCAGCTGTCTGCTCCGGACCAGGAGCTGCTGCAGCTCAGAAGTGCAGAAAGAAAGACGCACCTTTACCTTTGACCTTTGACCTTTAACCTGCTACCTGAGGCCTGTTGAGTCTGACACGGAGCTCATTGCACAGTCTGACCTTTAGGGTGAATTTGCCTCCTGGCAGCTTTCCCTCTATAGAATGACCTTTGACTCTTCTCAGATTGATTTAGGAGGTGATTCAGTTTGTTTTTATTTATTTTACGACCAAAATTATGATTTTTTCTCCCTGCTTTAGTAACTTATAAAGCAACTGGTTCAATCTGCTGTTCTTAAACTCTGAACGAGCCTCAGTTTGACCCAGAACGACTCTCTGAAATCCTGTTTTTGTCACCAGCAGCCGGGGAGCGAGGCTCGGTGGATCCAGCCTGCTCTCCCGAGGCCCGGGCTCCGTGGCAGGTCTCCAGCTCCCAGCGGGAGAAGGAAGTGGCTCTCACGGGCAGAGCTCCATTCGCCCTCTGCTGGGCGCCAGCCAGGACCCTCAATCAGGCCGTCGGTCGAGTAGGTCACGCTGTCAGAGAGCGCCACAGCTCACATCCTCCTCATTAGACTCCAAGAAACAAAAAAAAAGGCAAAGTCAGGGAAAATGTGTCGAATGTGATGAAACAGGTGGGCTCAGGTGGGCAGAAAAAAACCTGCTGATGCATGAAGCAAAACTATGAAACCTTTATTCTCTAAAAAACTTAATACACTTTATATTCTGCATCAATTATAGTGATTTAATGCAGAAATTTAATCAAATTCCTACAGAAACTAATGAATAAACTCACTTTTGTTACTTTTAATTGCTTAGTTTTGAATTAACGACAACTTAAATGTAAATTTACCATTAAATAAAACATT